AGAATGCTAATTGTGATCAAATGGTCTCCTCCATCTTCCTAGTATGCTTGGTCAGGTCATCAGTTGGCACTTACAGGCAGGGTATTTGGGGGACATTCACTCATTTATCCAGAAATGCCAAGTTCTATTGTGTGGGTGTGGCAGTTCACCTGTAATTCCAGCCTTAGAAAACAGAAGCAGAGGATTCCCAGAGCAAGCTGGCTACTGAGACTAGCAAACTCTGGTTTGATTGAGAAATCCTGTTTCAACAAATAAGGTAGAGGGCCAGCAAGATGGCTTAGTAGGTAAAGGAGCATGCTACCAAGCCTGATGAGCAGAGTTTGATCCTCAGAACCCACATGATGGAAGGAGAGAACTGACTCCCTCAAGATGTCCTCTGACATAGACATACATACGGTGGCACACGTGTGTGAAGGTACACACGCACATACACACATAAATAATAAATAAATAAATGTAATTTTAAAGATTAAATAAAAAATAAGGTAAAGGAGGAAGCAATCAAAGAAGATTCCTGACATCAACTTCAGACCGCCACACTCATACACATGCATGTGTATGTATGTACTATGCACCCACACACATGGAGGCACACATACACACACACACGCATACACACACACAAAGAAAGAAAAAGGAAAAAAAGTCAAGCACCATCTGTCAACCAGGCATGTGCTGGGTGCTAGGAATTCTGAGTACAGTGTCTGCTATTATCAAAATAAGGAGGGGAGGAGGTAATCCTCATCTTCTGGAGTAATCGATGATTGAATCTAAGACCACAGCAGGAAATGACCTTCTACCTCCTCATCCAATCTTGGCCAATATACCAGAGCATCAGAGCCTCTGAGGCCTGGGTCCAGTGCTTTACAACTGTGTTCGTGAATGTGTTTATGGATCAGTGTATCACCTGGGAGTGATACAAGTTAAAATTCAGGTTCTGATTTAGTAAGTCTGGGCCGGAGCCTAAGATTCTGCATTTCTCACAAGCTCAAGGTGATGCTGAGGTTGATGGCCCATGTACCATATGTGGTAGGGTAGAAACCTAGAGAAAGACTTCATATGGCCACTGCTATCCTTGTGAGCATAGAGTGTTGGGGACTTCATGACTAAGCTGGGTAATATAATACTTGGTTGCTTGATGGTGTGGCCAGGGGCTGTTGCGAGATGAGGGATGAGGTACCAGGAACATTTCAGGTTAGTGTAGAGACAAGTAAGGCACATCAGCAGTGACTGTGGAGTATGCCAGGAGTATGGCATCATAGCTAAGGATATATGAACTTTGGCATTGCACTGAGTTTGAGTCCCAACTCTATACATACCAGATGTTTAGTGATTTAACCCTTCTATATCTCATTTTTTTCATTTGTAAAATGTCATCCTTCAAGGTTAAAAAGAAATAACTTGATCCATGGAATTCTCTTAGAATACAGTAGTGGAGATTTCTAACTTTCTAGGGAGCTGAGATTCAAATAGGGCAGCAAGGGGCTGCTCACCATGGCCTATGTTTCACCATGGTAGGGCCCCTGAAGCTGGTTCTGCCTTTTGAAGGTCTGCTGGAACACTAAATGGAACAGGCCCTTTGGAAGAACATGTCTGACTGGGTGGGCTGCCTGGTGGTGCAGTAGTCCTGAAGCCCAGAGACAGTCTCAGTTTCTTATGTGGGTGGCTGTCACTCTTTAGACTTAGTTTTCTGTGTAGGCAGGAGATAGAACAGGATGATACCGCCTGTAGTTTCCTGTAGGAGCCCAGGAACACTGGAGGTGGAGCTGAGATGAGGGACACTTGGCAGTCAGGAAGGAAGCAAGGAAGGGGTTAAAAAGACCTCCAGAACCTCTGAATAACTTCACTGGGCCAAGGCTCTCCCAGGTAATCACTGTGTTGTCCCAGGTCATGAGCAATAGGGATCACCACTAGGAGAGGGCACTTTGGGAGACTGACACTACAGTGGTCAAATTAATTTCTCAAGTTTCTAGAGAAAATGGCTGTACCTTTCTGGACACATTGATTGTGCAAAGTAACTACCTCTTTGCCAGTGTTCTGCCTCCGATATTACCCTTCTCCAATACCTAGGTGATCTCAGGGGGATCAATCTTCCCTCCCTCCTTCTTCTCCTCCTCCCCTTCCCTTTTCCCCCTTTCCCTTTTTTCCTCCCTCCTTTCCGTCTTTCCTTTTTTCTTTTCTTTCTTTTTTTGGATTTTGTAGGCTCTCATATAGCCAAGGCTAGCCTCCAACTCACTATGTAACTAAGGATGACCTTAAACTCTGGATCCTCCTGCTTCCACCTCCCAAGTGCTAGGATTACAGCCATGTGCCACCATGTCTGGCTTTTTCTTTTTTAAAAAAATTAGTATATATTAATTGTGCAAAATAATGGGTTCCATTGTGATTCTAAAGTAAAATTCTAGCAGTGTTCTTTCTTGGCTTAAAACCCTTCAGTGCTTTCCCATTTCCTGTAACATGGTATTGTTTATAAGGCTCCACAACCCTCACCAGGGACATCTCTCATTCTTTTCTTCATTCCTCCTCCAGGAAGTCCTACTGGCTTACTTTCAGGTCCTTAATACTGCTTCACTGGTTATTTCCCGCATATGCTGTTTGCTCTGCTTCTAAAGCCCTGACTTCCCCACCAGACTGATGCTGCTTTGTTACCAGGTCTCCATGTCCCTGTCACATTTTCCTGGTGGCCTTCCCTGATGTTCTGGACTGGGTAACTATCCATATGGCTTTCTCAATGACTGTAAGCTCCATGAGGAAGAACAGAGATGCTGTCCTCTTGGCAGCTGGTATTTCTGTAATATGACCCTTGGCAGAGAGCTTGGTGAGGGCTTTATACCTGAGTATCTCCCTCTGAAAGGCTCCAAGTAGCTTCTCCTGAGGAGGTGTTTCCCACACCTGCTTGTGCCTAGAAATGCCCAGGACATCTTTAGAGATGGATTCCTAGTCCCATGCTAAGCACTTCTGAGCTCTCCTAGGAAGGAGTGAGTCTATATTTTCTTAAAACTCCCCACAGTCAGGCCGATCAAGGGTATGGTCCCTACATTGGAGGATCATGTCTGGGGTGACAGGCCTAGCAAATAGAGGGTACTCATTGGACAGGTTTTGGTCCCATCAGGCCACTTAAAAATTACTCAGTTTTAGTTAGTTCACTATGACATTTTCATAAGGCGCATCTTTGTATTTGGCTTCAGTTGTTCTCCTTCCTCCCAATAGTTCCACCTTCTGCTTTAATGTCATATAAACATATGTGTTTGTTTATATAGTTATGACTACATTTTACATATGAGAGAAAACATGTAACATATGTCCTTCCTTCCCCCTCCCCATCACCCTATTTGACTCCTGCCTCTCCCTCCTTTTAGGCCTCTTTCTCCTACTGTGCAGTCTCCCACTTTCATAGCATAGTGTGTGTGTGTGTGTGTGTGTGTGTGTGTGTGTGTGTGTGTGTGTGTAATTTACTTATTTATCTTTTGTAATACTGGGGACTGAACTTAAGGTCTTGAGCACACTAGGCAAGTACTATACCATTGAGCTATATCCTCAGCCCATACATATTATATTTTAAAATATAGACTCCATACATGATAGAAAACATGGTATTTGTCTTTCTGAGTCTGGCTTATTTCACATAACATGTTCTTCAGTTCCTTACTGCAAATGATGTAATTTTATCCTTCTTTATGACTGAGTAAAATGCCATTATATATACACCATGTTTTCTTTATCTGTTCATTTGTTGATCGGTATCTAGTTCATTGTCTTAGCGATTATGAACAGCACTGCAATAATCATGGATGTTCAAGTACCTTCCCAGGCTATGTTTGGTGTGGGTGGGAGGTTGCAGCTTTTAGGGCATGTCCTAGTCAGTTCACCTTCTCACACCCAAGACTGCATAGTCCACGTCTAGAAAGCTCAAGAGTTCCTCCTAGAGATGCATGAGACTTTACAGGGAGGGCGTTGCTGACCTTCAAGCAGACTTGTGCTGTCAGGATAAAAGAAGTTACTTCTTCCCACTCTTCTGGTCACACAATTCTCCTTTGGGTTCAGGACTGTGGGCTCTGAAGCTTTTGTAAACAAGGGCGGCGGTTTCCATGATTTAGGTACCAGAAGTCTGTGTGGGAGAAGTATGGCTCAGAGTTAAACCCCTTCAAAGTCCAAGAGTAGATGCAAGAGTTTATCACAGACCAGCTTGTCTTTGTCTCATAGGACCAGCTGTACAGAGTAGTAAGAGTTTCAGTCTGGACTAGGAGGCAGAGACAGTAGCATCTCATGGCTTGGGTATACCTGTGAAAAACTTAATGTAGGAAGTCTGTCTGTTTTTCTGGACTGCCAAGGTCTTCTAAGGCTCACATTAAAAGTTCTGTTATACTCTGGAATCTGTGCATACATAATCACCTATCCTTTATTTACCTGTTCTGGGAAGCAGCAAATCAAGGGTTTCATCTGTGGCATGATAGGTCATCAACTTATCCAGGAGCCCCAGGATATTTTTTGACAGGAGCCATACAAAACAACTAGAACTTTGAGGAGTTATGGGATAGGCAGTGCTATGGATGGGTGACAGAGAGTGGCTTACATCTTTGGGGAGGCATTTTTCTTTGATTATAGCTAGGATGGGGAGATTTTCCTCTGCCAGTGCAGAGGCAAGTCCATTATATGGCCTTGGGGTAGGCAGTGTTGGGGAAAATGGCACAGTCAGGTCAGGGGAGCTATGGAAGCTTAGGGATTCAAGGGAAATACTGATTATCTACAAATGGGCTGAGTGCTATGTTGGGTCTGAGAGGAGAAGTTGGTTCATAAATAGAAATGTGTGCCATAAAGGATCAAGAATTGTGGGTTGGAATGGAGGCTAAATGTGGGAGCTTAAAAACTGGATCTAGTCACCTGGGTACTTCAGAGTCCTATGAAGGCCTGGCTAGCTACCCCTCCCCCAGCTCATCCCTAAAGCTTAATCTGCTCTTGGCTTGTATTGACCCTTCTCCATCCTCTTTTCCTTCCACCAGGCGCCTAGATGCCAACCTCATCTCCCTGGTCCCTGAGAGGAGCTTTGAGGGACTGTCCTCCCTCCGCCACCTCTGGCTGGATGACAATGCACTCGCCGAGATCCCTGTCAGAGCCCTCAACAACCTTCCTGCCCTGCAAGCTATGACCCTGGCTCTCAACCACATCCACCACATCCCTGACTACGCCTTTCAGAACCTCACCAGCCTTGTGGTGCTGTGAGTGCTGCTCTGGCCCCGACCACCTGCATGGAGGCTGCATGTTTTCTCCTGTTGGATCAGGAACCTGACTAGCTTTGCTCTGTTTTGCACATATTTGAACCTTCTGTTCTCAGTTTCTGCTTTGTAGAAGATTACTGTCCTCTGTTGTCTCTGTAGGATTATCTCAAAGCTAGATGATGGCAAGCCTGTGGAAGTGCTCTGAAAGTCACTATTACTATAATCAGAAGCCAGAAATACTTTTCTGTTATTTTCTCACTATGCAAGTGTAATAACCATCCCATGCTAATTGGAAGATAAGTCAAGAATTTCTTAAGAAATTTCCACCACATTTGACAATCAAAAGATACAGTCATATGTTTTGGCATAGGAATGGAATAAATTCATTTAATTTTTCAGACCTAAAGAAGCAGAAAAGGCCATCACATGTAATTAGATGTCAAAGCTCCATCAGGTAATTACCTGGGAGATAGCATCCCTGGCAGGAATAGGGGCTGGAGTTAACTCTGCCTTCCCAGTAGGAACTTTACAGTGCAAATTAGCTTCCAGCTAATTGCTATGAATGATTGGTAAGTTCATAGAGTAATTACTAAGGGCTTGGAGGTCAGATATAATTGCTCTGGGTTACATACTAATTGCTGCAGAAACATGGTTCAGGAACATGTGTGCTAGTGACTCTGCTAAAGGGCAGTGTTACCTCCCTTGTTCTTGGAAATCTGGTATGATTTTCTAGGTCAGTGAACAGATGCTGCTTAGTTCCATGTCAGAGATGAAGATGTAGGCATCAATTTGTTTGTCTAATGTTCTGTTCTGGGAGTTTAGAGAGCCAACATGAATGTCCACGGAGTACATTCCTCAATTAGAATGACCATACCCTCCATCCTTCTGGGAGTTATTGTGGTTGGTTTTAGCTTTGGTGATACCCCTGTGACTTCACAAAGGAATAGGGTCAGGTCTCCTGGAGGGACAAGGCTACTGGAAAAATGAGAATTTCATGATGGGTCCCTGATACGCAGGCAGAACCCCTGTGTATCGGTTACTTTTCTGTTGCTATTACAAGATACCACGACCAAGGCAACTTACAAAAGGAAGAGTTTATTGGGCTTCAGTTCCAGAAGGTTAAGAGTCCATCATGGTGGGGAGGCATGGTAGGAAGCAGCTGTAACAGAAAACCAAGCAGTTGCATCTTCAAGCAGACATAGGAAGCAGAGAGGGAAACTGGCAATGGGGCACGGATATGAACTCTCAAAGCCCCCTGCCCCCCACAATGATGTACTTCCTCCAACAAGGCCATACCTCCTAAAGGTTCCATGACCTTCCCAAACAGCACCACCAACTGACTAAGTGTTCAAAGACTTGGAACCTAGGGGACTCTCATTCAAACCATCACATGAAAGGTCAAAGAACGATGTGACCAAGCTGCTGTGCTTGAGGGGCTTACTGGGCAGCTATAGAGAAAGATAACCCATGCAGTTATTTGACTTTTGCTGGTATAGCCAAGTGGTAAGGACAGACTCATCGCAGCACAGGAACAGTGGGGAGGCCGACAAATGTGAATTGGTGAGAAGGTTTCATGGGGGAGGCAGGACTGGTGCTGGGCCTGGAAAGACAGTGGGATTGGACAAGCTGAGAGAACGAGAGCATTAAAGACATGGAAGAGGAGCTGAGGTGTTTGGCTGCTGGTGAATCGGGCAGTCAGCCTGTAGCAGAAGGTCCTTGTGCAGAGTGTGGAAGAAAAGTCAGGAAAAGTGAGTTGGGAGACACACAACAATGTCAGAGCAAAGACTCTGGCTTATATTTGCCAGTGGGGGAGGGAAGCTTGCAGGTTTTCATGCAGAAGTTCAAAGAGGCTATTTTAGGGTGGTTAATGTGAAGAGTGGATGGGAACAGGGGGAGACCAGAGACAGGAAAATTAAATTAGTTCTGAGGTTGTCGTGTATCAAAGTTCAGCTTGGGGAGGCAGCAGAAAGGAAGAGTGGGAACATGTGACTATAAGGGATGTTTTGAAGGAAGGATTGATTCATCTCAGAGGTTTTCAACAGGTGGAGGACCAAGAAGAAAAGGAGTTATGAATGACTTCAAGGCTTGGATGGAAGACAGGAATCTGGCATGAAACTCAGGCCCAGTATAGATCTAGGAGGTATGGGAGACCCACTCGGTATAAGAAGAGACAGAGGACTAAGGGGAATAAGCCTAGTACATACAGCAGTGGGAAGGCCCAGGAGGCAGATAAGGAAGACTGGACATGAGAGGAAGTAAGAAAGAAATTGGCTAAAACCAAGTGGTAAGCCATGGTGGTATATGCTTGCAATTCCTCAACCTGGAAGGCTGAGCCAGGGGAATGCAAGTCAGAGACTAGCATTTGTGATATAGTGAGACTGTGTCTCAAAACAAAACAAAACAAACAAATGAAACAAGAACAAAACAGGAAAAAAAAAAAAAACCCTAAGCCTAAGGGGTGGGCAGGGGCCTGTTAGGAAATAATGGGCAGCCACGTGTGATATAGGAGATGGGGTTCCCTCTACCAAACCCTGTGCTATTCTGGTGCTGCTCTCACATGTGTGGAACCCCTTCCCACAGTGGTGGTACTAGCAGGAGCACTGAGCAACACTTCCTTAGACAACAATGATGTGCCATATGGAATCTTGTCTCGTCATCAAGCTACAAGCCCATCAAGCTATAGGCCCCAGGCTGGACTACTAGAGGTGCCAGGACTCCAGGGCTGAATGAGAGGTGCAGAGGAGGAAGTGAAAGGCCTGGAACTAGAGGTATAGAAAGCTGAGATGGTCTATACTAGGGCTAAAGGAGAAGGAGGAGAGGGCTGGGAAACAAGAGACAGGCAGAATGCGATTGATGACAGTTGGGATAGAAAGAAGTGTGAAGGAAATAGGAAAAATTAAAAGGCTTGATAAGAGGAGAGAAGTTATTTACCAGACCATAGGGGATGCCTTCCTACCAGCCCAGAAGATCCTTGGGTTGGAGGTCTGTCTCCCCTGGCTGAACCTGGTGGAGCTCGCAGGGATAGGAGAACAGATAGTTTTAAATCCCAAGATTCACAGAACTGCCTTCCCCATCCACTGTAGATGGCTTTAGTTTATTGCCTTTATATCTGAGCAACATCTTGGAAGCCAGCCTGCTTTTTACCCCTTGTAAGTGATTTCCTTTTTCTGCCTAAAGATGTTTGTAAATTCTTGAACTTTAACAGTGTAAGTCAAATATGTCACAGTGTAGAATGTTCTGCATCTAATTTTCCTGGAACAATGGATGCTTTTGAGCTGCAGATTCTGTTCCTCCTAGAGAATGTTTTGTATTATTTATTACATCTTTAGTCTCATGTTTTGAATTCTTTCCTGAGAGAACTGTTACTGTCTTTGAACCACCTTTGCATCTGTCTTCTACACTGATCAGTTTCTAACCGTTTTAAGCTTTTCTTTCATTCTGTCATGGCCACCCCAATCATGTCTAGCTTTCTTTCTGACACAAGTCAACTTCACCACTGTCCATGCTATTCCTCCTTTCAACACAATTGACTAGTTTTTTAATAGTATAGTTTGGGTTCCGTTTTATTTCCTTAATTTACAAGGTCATTTTTCCTTTCATTTAAAATTTTTTTGTCTTTGCAATGTCATTTGAGTTGCTATGTAACAGGGGAGTTGTGATCAGTTTCCTTGTATTCCTCATTCACTTTTTGTTTGTTTGTTTGTTTGGTTCTTTTTGAAACAGTGCCTCATGTAGCCCAGGATGGCCTCTAATTTACCTAATCTCCTGATCTTTCTGTCTCTATCTTCCAAGTGTTAGGATTACGAGTGTGCACCACCACCTCCAGTGTTAATTTTATTTTCTTCTAGATTTGGAACTTTGCCTCTCTTCTGCATTCTTTCTCCCTTTGTCACCCTATGATTTCTTTTCTCTGGCACATTTGGGAAGCTCTGGGCAATTGGTCCAGCACATCATCCCTGAGCCCCATTGGTTGTCCCCACCAAGCTAGTGTGTCCCATATGTGAAGTAGGTTCTGACCCCTTTTCTGTACCCTAGTAGGATAGGCGAGGAGTGAGGCATGCTCTGAGGTGGTAGCCAGCCTTGAGCAAACCACTTAGGCTCTGCATCCTCTACCCCATTTGTATTAAATATGGAGTTTGCACCTTCTGCCCAAGAATGCTCTCAGGCTTCAAGTACCACCTTGCTCTTCATTCAGTGAGTAGCCTGAAACTTGAATTTTACTTTCTCTCTCATCTGTTCCCTTTGGGAGCCAGAAGTCCAGAGGAGAAACAGAATACTCACATAGTTATTTATGAACCTGCTGCTTGCTGTCTTGCCTCCTTGCCATGATGGACTCTCATCCCTCAGGAACCATAAGCCAAAATAAACTCTTCCTCATACATATAAAGAATACTCACATGGTTACTTCTTGTAGCTTTAGGAGGAGGTTAGGGAGAGATCTCAGGTTTGTTTTCTTACCAGTCATCTTTGGGGAAAAGGGCTGATGAAGACCTCTAAGCTGTTTCCTTGGCACCAGTGCTTCAGTGTATCTGCATCAGGCTGTCATGTTTCCTGACTTCGTTGCGCCTTGTGACACTTCAGGTGTGGTGCAGTTTGGTTTTGGTTAGTTTTTTTCTCACGGAGGGCAGGGAGAAGACAATTCTGTCACTTACCTTCAGCAAGCTATTTATCTTGAGAATCTCTTCCAGACTCCTTCCTCTCTCCAACTGCACCTGATCTTGCCAAGGTCTACATGCCCCCCAGACAGGCCTTCCCACCTCTGCCTGGAATCTCTTCTCTCTGCTCATGGGGATCACCACCTTTGTAAAACCTTCCTTGATGCCTTGGCCTCACCCATCTCAGCGTGACCACAGCTCTCTCCAGTTGTAACGGAAAGCTTAGCCTTTAATTATATGTTGTCTGCAGTGGTTTGCTGTTGGCTCCTCTAAGAACGTCTGGCCACTGAGTCAGGCTGGCTGGGTCCTAGGGCACAGGGCCAGAGAAGAAGCCTCAGATGTAAGCCCCTCTGACATCAGACCTTTCTCCTAGTGCTTAGCCAGAGTTTGCTGTTGCCTTGGCCTGGACTTTCCTCTCTCCAGTTCCTTCACTAGGAAGACAAAATGGTATAGCCTGTGGTCAATCCTGCCTTGGCAATTGTGGCTTCTGAAGTGGGTGTTGGTCAATCTGTTTCCTGGGGGGAAAGGGTTAGAGCACTGGGGTCATTCTGTTTGTGCTTCTGCCTCCGCTCTGCTACTCCTGTCACTGTGTGCTTACATCTGTCCTGGCCCCGAGGACATGTCTGACATGTCTCTCCTTTCCACTCAGGCATCTACATAACAACCGCATCCAGCATGTGGGGACCAACAGCTTCCAGGGGCTGCACAATCTGGAGACACTGTGAGTAGGGGAGTTCTGTTCAAGTGCTTGTCAGGTGATGAGTCTGTCACTAGGCTGGGGAGTGTGGGCTCAGAAAGGGCCAGCAGAGCGGGGATGCTGGGATATGGTCCCAGACTTTCACCTGTGTGCCACTTCCTGGCACTTTGTTTAGGATGTTATTCAGGATGAATTCCTTCCTCCTTCAGGTAAGCAGAAGGTGCCCTGTAGTGGTTCAGAGTGGCCCAGAGAGCGAGAACCCAGGCCTCCTGCCAGCAGAGACCACAAAAAAAAAAAAAAAAAAAAAAAAAAAAAAAACAAAAAAAAAAAAAAGAAAAAAAGAAAAAAACACACACAAATGAAAACTTCCAAAGGAATTAGGACATGAAGTCTGAAGCGTGGAGCCTGGAAGGCTTGGGGGTGGTGCTGGGGCTGACTTGATGGCAGTTTTGATATCTGTTTAAGGGTAGCTGCTGACAGAAGGGAGAGGAATACCACAGAGTAATGTCAGGACTCTTTGCCAACTGATCTAACTAGCTAAATGATTAATGGGGAGATTGCCCATTCAGTGCTACAGCCTGCCTATAAAAAGCACCCAAGCTGTTGACTCTTAAAAAGCTGTATTATTCACACATCATCATCCTGGAATTCAGTTAAGGTCAGAATGCACCCAAGCCCTCCCATCACTTCCTCTGGAGTTCTGCCAGCCCCCGCAGAGTGGGCTGAGTGGGCCCCGCTGAGCAAACAGTTGGCTAGGCTCTGCAAGTGTGGTTGGTCATGCCAGCTGAGATCTTCGGCTCCCCTGAGGAAACTGGCTGCCATGGCCACCTGGTGCAGGAACCAGAGGGGGCTCTGGAAGAGGAGGGCCCCAGGTCACCATGAAGATGAGCCACTGAGGATAGGGAAAGGCTCATGGCATCAGGAGTTTGTCACAGTTCCTCTTGAATAGCATCCTCCAGTCATAACCAAGCCCCCATTTTCCACCCCCATCCTCCGAGCATCCTGAGATGAGGGAGTCTCAAGAATCCAAAGCAGCAAAGGACAAAATTCCAGGAGATGAACTGTGACTGGGAAGGAACATGTGAGAAATCATTATGTAAAATCTACCCCCAGAGGCCTTAGCTATCAACATTGGTGGTTGTGTGGGGTGAGGGATCGGATGCTCAGACCAAGGTACCATTATCTTCCCTGCAGGATGATTCCCAGAACATGGCTGCTTTCTTGGTCTCAGTGTGTAGCAGGAGAAATGGTAGAGCTGGCCTTAGCTCCGCTGGCATCCTGACCCTTTGGCCAACTGAATACCAAGGACTGCAATGTAGATCAGTGTGCCCCAGCCTGGACTCAGGAGATTGGCACCATTCCCTACACTGTGCATGGCTTGGGCAATGTGCTCCCCATCCTGAGCTGTCATTGGTGCCTGAACAGTTAGAAAAGGCCAGTCTAGTCCTCTAAATCTTCACAGGAGAACATTCATTTCCAGGGTGATAGCATGGTCCCTCCCAGAGTGACCTCCCCAGCTATGCTCAGAGCAGATCAGGTGTGTTAATGAGAAGACATACATACTAGGATAGTGCCCTGCTATCCTACCACTTGGTCAAATGTGAATTGTATGAGTCTACTGTGTGTATTGGTGCCTCTGGAGGGCTTCCCAGGTCTCTGTAACCACTTCTCAGGAGATGGCTATAGAGCGATGCTGGGAGTTGCAATTCAACAACAGGGCAGGAGGGAGTGCAACAGCATCCGCCCTGGAATGTGGGACTGTTTAGCTCTGCTGGGAAATCAGGTGAGGATTGGGGCACAGATACTGAGTGTGGGTTGGCACCTCAAAAAAGCCAACAAGCAGCTCAGCTGTTTCTTCACTTTTGGGGCACACTGCCTAACTCTTTCTCAATTAGCCACTGTCTTGCTGTGCAGGGCGTTTGGCTCAGCTGGTGCTGGCTGAATTATAGAGCAGTCCTGCCGCTAAGCACCCTCTGTCTCTTTCATCTATCTATATAGAAGTGCTTGGCCCCAACACACAAAACCCTTGGGCTGTGCCCTCCTTGCAAATGGAAAAGCCAAGACCAAGAAACAAGGAAAAGTCCACCCATCTTTACAGTGCGGAGGCAAAATAGCCCAGCGGCTAATCCCTTGGCATCAGGCAGCCTGGAGCCCAATGCCAGTTCTACCAGCTGTGTGAGCTCAGTCATATGAGTCTCAGTTTTTTAATGTGCAACATAATGTCACAAGGCTGTATAAAGTTGTTAGAGACCTGAGTTGTACAGGAACCTGCCCTCTGCTCTTTTCTCCTTCTTTAGCTCCTCCTCCAAGGCCTCAGCTCTACAACACCCTTTTCCTCCCCACCCTCGAGGAATAAACCCTTCCTCCAACTTTTGATCTCCAATTAAAATGGGGGAGAAGTGTGTTTTTTATCCCCTGTTCCCCAGAGCACTTTCTGAGGAGCGTACAGGGGATGGCAGCTGTGGAGGGGGGAGGCGTGGCAAGGAGAATGAAAGGGGAAAGAAATGATAGTCAAGTCTTTTAATTGTTGCATAATTGGCGTGCTCAGCAGCCTCAGTTATTACTCGGGAGCTTTCATGTGAGCTTCTCGCTGGAAGGGTACGTCTCCCTCAGGCCCTGTAAATCTCTGCCACTTAGACCTCTCTCATCTCTGGCAGAGGAGGGAAGATCAAACCCCCACAGCCTAGGCTGTGGTTTGGCTCCAGCTGTGGTTTGGCTCCTCTGCAGCCTCCTCTTCAGAGGGAGAGCAGCCCCCAGCCTTACCACCTGGGAGGAGGGGCCAGGTGCAGGCACGCATATGCGTGACCACACAGGCTCCCAAGCTACACGCATGCAATGTACATACCACACAGCTTACATCCTCTGCCATCCTCTTCCATGTAAACTGTACCTGTGCAACCCAGTCTCTCATGCCCTCGGCCATGAGGTCCAAGCTGCCAGCTCTACCTCTGTAGACCAGGTCGCATAAGCACATTGTTCTCACTCCCAGAGCCTCGCTTTCTTCACCTCTGCAAGAGGCTACTTCAGCTGGATGTGGTAGTACAAGTTTATAATCCCAATGCTCAGGAGGTGGAGGCAGGAGGATCAGGAGTTCAAGGCCAGCCTGGACTGCATGAGATCCTGTCGCAAATAAACAAAACAAAGCTGGTCGAATCATGTGCCATGCTCTCTTACTCTCAAGTAGCTGTGAGCAGTTTGGGGTGGGCCTCTGCCATGCCCTCTGCTGCTGGGCAGAGTCACACAGTTCTGAAGAATAAACCTTGCTGTGCTCTGAGGGGGCCTGGTGCTGGCAGAAGAGGATCTTGGGATGTTTCTTCCAGCATGGTCATCACCACTCCAAACTTTGCCAAGGAGCCTCTGCCAGAGGCAGACCCAACTTGCTCTATCCTGCATCCACAGACCTTTCCTGCAGTGAGGATGACCGGCCAATTTCAGGACATCACAAAGCAGAGATGGTTCCCTCTACTTTCCACATTAGACCAAATCTACAGCTTCAGGGTGTGTTGCCAGAGTTTCTGTAGTTTGTAAGTGAGGGGAAGCCACTGGAACGTTGCTCCATTTAGCACACCCTCAAAGGCAGATCTGTTGCAGAATTTCCTAGGTATTGAAGTTGAGATATAAAAGAAATCATGATAAAGAAAAGCTCCAGGAAGATGCTCCAAGGAACACTGAGGACCTGAAGCCAGCTCCCAGACCCCATGGTCAGTGATCGGGATTTTAGGTTTGGAGGCCATCAGACAGCTATGTCAGCCTGATAAACAGTGGTCCTCAAAGTCCTAACTATACTTAGCAGAAAGGGGGACTGGCAACCCCAATTCCATCCTGAAGGGCCCACTTTACCTCCTACATCCAGAAACTTAATGCCAGCAGCTTAGCAGAGCCCAAGGGCTGTAGAAGGGGAAGCCCCAAGAGTCTCTGGGAGAATAATACTTCCTTTCCTCCGGCCTGGGCAATGAACTTTGAACCTTGTTATGACCTTGTTAAACAAACCTAGTCCAAGCAGGGCCCGAGCTGGCTGGACATTTCCCTCTGGAGGGAAGCCTGCTGGAGCTGGAGAACAGAAGCCTCCTAGCTTAGCTTCTCTAAAGCAGGACCAGGATTCAGCACAGGGCTGAGAAGTGAGATGGGCAGTACAGGAATTTATAGAATTCTTCCTTAAAACAGAAAACTGCCTTCCCTGTCAAGCCTTCTCTACTAACAGATGTCCTGGTAATGTTTCTGAAGGGCATTCTTCAACAGCAGCTGTGGCTACAAAATATTCCCGTCTCAGTCATTGAAAATGCAAACATCAACAGGCTTCACTCAACTTGCTCAGAGTTGGCCTTGAAAATATCTGGCTGTTCCTCAGGCCTGGGCCTGACTGACAACCCTTAGTCTAGAACCGGACACCAGGTGGATTTCCATCAAGGTTCTTCCAGGCCTTGGGGCATCCTGAAGAGAATCAAGGATTGGAATGTAATCTGTGGACTAGGATTCAAATCCTGACACTGCCACCAACGTAGCATGAGCAAGTCACCTGATTGCTCAAAAGCCTCTTGCTGTCACAAATAGAAAACAAGGCCAACACTACAATTCAGAGGAAACTGCAAAGATCACATTAAGTGAGGTGACTTCATGTAGTTCTTGGAACACCATAGGTGCTTAGTTTATGTTGGCTTTCCCTTTCCTCGCTCCCACTTAGAGTTGGACAGAATGTGTCTGAAGGTGGCAGGGAGGGTGTTACCCAGAGGTATCATTTCACAGTGTTCCATGCTGTGATTCATCAGTCTAGGATGAATCGGAATGCTCAGGCAGTCAGAGGATGGCTACTGTATTAGTTTCCTGTGGCTGCTATCACAAACTACCACAAACTTGGTGGCTTAACAAAACAGCAGTTTATTCTTCCACAGTTCTAGAGGTCAGAAGTTCAAAATCAAGAGGTTGGCAGGGCTGGTTACTTCTGCAGGATTTGAGACAGACTCCATTCCTAGTCTCTCTCCTTGTTTCTGATAGCTGCTGGCAATCCTTGGCATTCTTTGGCTTAG